CTCGGCGCGGCGGGGAGGCCAGGCGGCAGAGAGGAGACGCTCGAGCGCGGTCGGGTGCGGAGGCTGAGCTCGCGGACCCGGAGTGCATCCGCAGACGGGAGCCGCGGCCGAGGCAACCACCCCGCCCCGGGCGCCGCTTTCCTGGCGGCTCGCACGGTAAGCGGAGCGCCTCCTCGAAGTAGACTTTGTGGGGATTCCGGAAACTGGGAGCCCCCTCCCGCCCTCGGCCCCTCAGACGGCGCTGCCGGTGGCGTCCTCGCGCCCGGCCGCGTCCCCGGCGCGCCGGCCCTGTGCCCGTGGGATGCGGGCGCGCGGAGGGCCCGGGAGGGAGGCGACGAGCCGCCGCGCCACGCTCCCTCCACAAGCTGCCGCAGCCCGGCCCGGGCCCGACCCTGCGACGGACAGGTCGGCGCGCGGGAAGTGCCTGGGGCGCGGGTGGCTCCCGGCCGGACCTCCGCTCGGCCCAGGTCTTCAGACGCCTCAGGACCTGTTGACCTGGGACTGGGGGTCAGATTTGTCACACCATTTCCTACTTCCAGCCGTCCTGAGGCGCAGGGGGAGATCTCCGAGCGGCTCCCTGGCCGAGCTCGGAGCGGAGACTGGCCCTGGATACCGCGCCCCGTGTATCTATTCAGCATTTACTCGGCTGTCCCCGTTGTGTGCCAGGCACAGTGCTGAGCGCTGGTGCACGAAGACGGGCTTTGGAGGAGCTTTGGGGGCCAAGAAGGACAGTAGGAGGAACAGTTAGCGAACATTGTAGTACAGGGGACACGAGGTGGAGAGCAGGAGTGAAGGAGCCAGGAGGGCTTCGGGGCGAAGGTGACCACTGAGTGAGGACTGTAGGAGTCGGAGGGTTAGCCCCGCTGAGAGCTGCGGGGAGGGGGTGCAGGGGGAGGGCTGGTGGGTTAGCGGGAGTTCCAGATAGATTTTCTTGTGCCAGGGTAAGGAAGCTGAAAAAGCCCAGTATCGCATCAGGTGATCACGTAGGACCAGGGCTTACTGTCGGTAGGAAATGGGCTGTCGGCATGGCAGGGGGCTAAACCACGCTCAGGCCTTAAAATGCAGCCTTAGACTATCTCGAATTTTGTCCTGGGACAGAGTGGTGGAGGAATTCTGGCCAGTGACCAGGTCACTCTGGTAGCTCTGTGCAAAATGGATGGAGACTGGAGCAGCAGAGAGCTGGTAAGTTGTAGTTGCTGTTCAGACTTGGCTGTGAATACTCTGGTTCCGGAAGGCAGCCCCAACTGCCCAGAAGCCTTGCTCCCTGGCCTCTGGGTATGGACTTGGGCCAGGAGATGTTGCCCACGTGACACTTGCTTCTGCAACCTGCGGGCCATTTTTATATTGTTTCTGGAGGCTTTGAACTCAACCTTGTCATCAGGGATGGACCCTGGAGGATTGGGAAGGGTACCTCTCCCCTTCTCTTTCTGTCTTACAGAGGCACAGTCTCAGCTCTTAGAGGCTCTAGTAAAAAGCTAGGTGTCACTGGGGAGTCAGAGCAGAAAGTCACTTTAGCTATGTACTTGGGGGATGTAATCAACCTTTCTGAATTTCAGTTTTCTGATTTAAAAAGAAATAGCATAACTACCTTTATTAGGTCAGGTTCTCTGGAAAAAGACTCAGAGATTCTGAGGTTTGTGTATAGGGGGACTTTGGGGGAGTGGTCTCACTGTCCAAGGGGGTGAGGAGTCAGGAAAACAGGATTGGGCAGAGGGAGAAGTGGACCTGTGATGTAGTGCAAAAGACGCCTCAGTTGATCCCCTGAGGCATGGGGACCAAGGCTTTGAAGTCCCATGTTGACCAGCCAGTAGATGCAGGGGGTGCATAACTTCGGTTGTCCCTTCAGCAAGACAGTTCCTGAAGAGGGACTCAGCCAACATTCCTGGCAGCAGGGCGCACGGTAGAAAGGAGTGCCTTGGTGTTGGAGGGGGATTGAGAGCTGTATCATAGAGCCACCTCTGCAGGAAGGCCTTGGGAAGTAAATGTCATAACCTGACAGAAACTGGTTGGCACTGCATCTGGTGCAGAACAGACATTTAAAAAGCATTCATTTCTCTCGCCTTGAAACTTCTTGACTGCGTGCGTCTGAAAGTGGGTTGGAAAGTTAGAGTTGGGTAAATAGGCTTTTTAGAGGAAAGGAATTTTAATAATAATAGCCACAATAACTACCACTTCCCGTTACTGAGTGCCTATTATCTGTATGCATTGTCTCCTAGTTGTCTAGTAATATTCTGAGTCGGGTAATTTTATCCTTGTTTTATAGTCAACCCAGTCTTTTCCAAAACCCAACAGAGTATGTGTCCTTTTGCCATAAAATAATGGCCATAACAACAGCAGCAATCAAAACAATATGATTTGTTACACTCTATGAAGTGATTTCATTGGTGGTTTGATTAATTAATTCATTTATTTACCAGTTATTAATTCAGCAATGTGCATTGAGTGGTTCCTAAATGGCAGGGTGCTGTCCTAGGTTCTGGGAATACGGTGGAGTCTGTCAGGGGAGAGACAGACATTAATGCTTTGATTTCTTCAGGAGCCAACATTGAAGGATAGAACATCCCATTGCATAGCCAGGAAGTGATAGAGAGTAATAGGCCCTTTTCCCAATTGACTTTCTCATCCTTCAGTTTTAGTATAACTTCCTCAGAAAGGCCTCTTGGACCATCCTTTGTAAGGCAGGTCCCCTCCCTTTTACTCTCCTATCATAGTACTTGTTCATTCATTTTATTTATTTCCTAGTTGGTGGTCCTCCCCATTAGACTGGAGGCTTCAGGAGGTCACATATTGCTTTATCCCAAGATCCCAGCACAGTGATTAGCACAGATTTCTTGAATGAGTGAAATGAATGAGGCTTGGATCTGCTTAACAGAGTGGTTAGGGAAGGCCATATTGAGGAGTGATATTTATATTGAGATCTGAGGGATGAGGAGGACCAAGCAATGCCAAGATCAAGAGGCAGAGAGAGCAGCTTATTCAAGGATCATGAGGTGGAAGAATGGAGCCCAGGTGATTGGGGAACAGCCTGAGATGAATCTGGAGAAGTAGATGAGTCCTTGGAAGACCATGCTGAGCTTGGATTTTATTCAAAGTGCAATGGAAGGTCATTGAGGGATTTTAAGCCTAATAATAATGACTTAAGGTTGTAATATATATTTGTTTGTTGTCTGTCATGCCTCTAGGAGGCAAGCTCCATGAAGAAAAGAGTTCAGTAAATATTGCTAGAGTTAATGGGTGCTCTGGTTTATGTAGCTACCAAGTGAAAAATGGAGGCAAGAGAGGAATGTGATTTTGTCACAAATTCGGAGTTAGGTGAGAAAGATGTTGGTGTCTTGGGTACAGAACAGCAGTGGTATTGGAGAAAAGTAGAAGGAATAGAGTTATATTTCATTGTAAAATGGATGAGGACTTGCTGATACATTAGATACTGGGAATAGAGGAAAGGGAAGAATCAAGGGTGACCTGTGGGTTTATGGTTTAAGATTGGGTGGATGCCAAATGTCCATCAACAGGTGAATGGATAAACAAAATGTAGTATATACTGACAGTAGAATATTACTCAGCCATAACAAGGAATGAAGTGCTCCTATATGCTACAATGTGAACGAACCTCAAAAACATGCTAAGTGAAAGAAGACAGACAAAGAAGGTCACATGTTGTATGATTTCATTTATATAAAATATCTAGAGTATTTAAATCCATAGAGACAGAAAGCAGAATTCTGTTTGCCAGGGACTTGGGGAAAAAGGGTAAATGAGGCATAACTGCTTAAAGGGTAAACAGTTTCCTTTTGGGTTGATGAAAATGTTTTGGAATTAGATAGAGGTGGTGGTTGCACAACATTATGAATATACTAAATGCCACTGAATTGTACACTTTAAGATGGTTAATTTTATGTTATGTGAATTTCATCTCAATTACCAAAAAAAAAATAAAAAAGATTGGATGGATGGGAGCACCAATAACAGAGTGGAGGAGACTGGGTGGGGAGCGGGTTGTGGAATTCACGTGCTGTCTTAGAGATACCCGTGAGACATCCACATGGAGCCTAGGGGGAGATCTGGGCTGGAGATATAAATATGGGAGTTGTCAGCACTTAGATGTCAGCCAACAAAATGGATGAGATCTAGGGAGAGACAGTGTAAAGGAGCACATCACAGCCTGGATCATTCTTCAATTTGATCTTCATACCTACCTATGAGGGAGGTGCTGTTGTCTTCATTTTCAGATGAGGTAACTAACCCCCCTCCCCTGGCCCCCACATGAACTTGCCCAAGGTAAGACACTTTGTTCTTGTGCATCTTCTGGCTTCCAGTGCTTTGCCATTCCCGTCTCAGCATGATGGCATTTAGAACTTTAGCAAGGGCCTTCCCTCCCCTCCTCCTCTCCCCATTCTGACTGAGTACTCACATGGCAGGCGCTGTGCTGGGCATATGTTGGTGGAGAAAGTAGAAATGGCTCTAATTTTTGTGGAGTTTACCCAGTAAACAAGCAGCTGCAGTCCACTGATACAGGGGACTTTAGGAGCCTGTAGCAGGAGCGTCTACCCCAGGTTTGGGAGTAAGAGGAGGCTTCCTAGAGAAAATGTCAGCTAAGCTGAGATTTGCAGCAGAAGCAGAAAGATGGAGCCTGAGAAAGAGATGATTCTCTGGAGGGTTCATGATCCCTGAACACCTGCTATGGGAATTCACCATTCTCTTCATTCCCCAATTCTTCACAGGTTACTGGCATTTTCCAACTTATTGAGAGGGTTTTCTATATTTTCTATAACTCTGGAGGCAATAAGCAGACAAATGGCTTAATTTGATTTCAAGTGGGAGCTTCAGAGGGGTAGCCAGATAGAGTGCATACAGCCTGGTTTTCAAAGCCAGGCTCCATCTCTTGAGCGAGTGACTTATTCTTCTGAACCTTGCTTTTAATACCTATGAAATGGAGCCAATAATGTGCGTTTCCTAATGTAGGAAGTAAATGAAATGACACAGTAAAGTATTAGGTACATAATAAATGCTCAGAAAAATGATATCTCTCTTATCTTTTGGAGAGGAAGATTTTCTAAAAAGACCAGAAGTCCTTGCACTCTGTACACTATTTAAAATACAGATATCCATCTTCCCTCTGAAGGCTTTGATGGTTCAGGATGGAACACAGCGTTCTG